CCTAGTAGTAAGGCTAGGAGCCCCTAGTAGCTTCTTGTTACTAGTAGTAGTGGCCTCCAACCTAGTAGCGTCCTTGTCACTAGCAGCTTTAGTCGAATACACCTCATTTTCCATCAACCCTCGCCTGCATCCAATTGAAGGGTCGGGTCTCGCCAGCCCGTGCACCTACTTCAACGGACCTGGCCCGCATGGTTCGCATGTGGAAAGCATGGTCCGCATGCTTACAAATCGGATGTTCGTGTTCACTGTATCAAGACTGTATCGCCTTCCCTCTGTTGTGGTCCGAAACCTAGGGGGCACTGAAATGCCAAAATGAAATTGGCCTTCGAAAGAAAGTCAGACAAGAAAACACACACTAGTCACTAGACTGAGAAGCGGCCCCAGAAGCTGCCTGCGCCCCCCGCTTTCGCCGAGCAGCTTTCTCAGCTCTCGCAAACCTTCGCCACCCGGCACTTCCTGGCTGTGGAGACCGTGCGCGTCGCACAGAAGCCTAGCGGCTTGGCCTAGGGTCTAGCAGTGCAGTGTTTCTTTTTTGCAGCCAGAATTGGGTCCTCAATACAGCGTACTACAACCTCAGAAGCGCAAGATTCTGTGAAACCTCAAGAAGCATGCGGCATTTCAAAGAAATATGTCGTGTGTCTTGAAACTACCAGGTAAGCTCTTGTATGTTGTGATGAGCACATCTATTCTTACAAGCTCCTTCTTCTGAAACAAGTGCTGAGGGCTGTTCACAACACCGCCGCGGCCATCTTCTTGCAGCCGCACACCTCGCAAATGACATCAAAATGTGGTGTACCATCTCAAGAAACCTGCAAGCGGCTCACCAGCAGCTTGAGAGCCGTGCTGTAGTGAGTAGAGCCGTCGGTTGTCCAGGGCAAACCTGACTCTAAGTAAGGACAATGGGCATGAGGTAGCAGTCACCAAGAGATCAAAAAGCACACACTACTGCACATACTACGCGCTAACAATATCTGGTTAGTTACAAATTGGAGATGGGCTGGAATCTGGAGGGTAATGCGAACATTACACCGGTTTGCTGCAAAAAAATTGTTTGTGAAGCTTTTGCATCTGCTCGATCGCGGAAAAAAAGGTACACAAACACACTCAGCCTTGGAAGAACCTGAGGCGCAAACCAAGCACGCTTGCCCAAGAGTTGATCCCCGTTCGCATCACGCTCGGCCTCACAATCCCGCTAAAATCCTTTCCTTCGACATCCTCACCTATCGTCATCAGTAAGTTCTCCCTTCCTCAGGCAGCTTGAATTAGAATCTCGGCAAGAGTTGTGTCATGCATGGCATGGTGGAGCTGCAAGGGGTCGCATGCGGAACCCAGAATCTACCTAGAAGCTGGCTGAACCTGAACGTAGAGACGCTTTTCTCAGCGTGAAAGGAAGATCTCATCGCCTCGCCATCTGGCCGCCGAAGCTTCGGCAGCCAGGAAATCACCCGAATTGCAGGGAAAGGTGGCACCAAAACCTCATCGACTCATGCAACAACAGGCGCCTGGCTTCATCAGCAGTGGATTCAACTTCGATCATTGGCAGAGACTTAAGTTAAGACAGTCAAGACTGTCGATGCAAGAACTTGAGACCCTGGCCAAATCGTATGATGGGACTCCATCTGCCGCATCCTCTGAGGCTGCGCCAGCATAAACTCGATCCTGATGAGGGCAAATATTCCAGATGTCAAAGTGCAATGCAGGGCAGTCCTGCAGCGGCGCTTCAAAGACCTCAGAATGAAAGAATCTATCGACCTATATACTGTATGTATTTGTGCGTTGAAGCCAAATCTCCAAGCCTCGCAAGCAGAGTCCTTTATCAAATGCCCGTCCTCAGTCAGAAAAACACCTTCTAAAAAAAACAAGGCAATCCAATTCCACAAACTATTTCATCTGCGGACCCGAAAGTGCGGAGCGATCCGCGGCTGTGAGAAGCGGATGTTGAGCGGGTTTATCAGCCGCCACTTTCCTGCGAAGGAATCAGGGGAAGGCATGCCCTACACTTCTGAACAAGGCATGCCTAGAGACCTAGAGAGAAAGAGCGAGCGACCGCGAAAGAGAGAGAGAGAGAGAGAGAAAAAAAATAGAAAAGAAAAACAATCCTTTGTTCGATGCTTGCAAGTTAAGCCAATACGCACCCAGGCCACGGAGGCCCTATCCTTCCTCACGCGGCCCGGGCATATTCACAGAATCTCTCACAAAGTGAAGTGCAAGCTATTTGAGCATAATGCTGCAGCACTTTCCCTCTTGACCATTCCAAAACTCTTGAAGGTAAGGTCCTTCAACAATCTAGCTACCTGCTTGAATGACTCTCCACTGGAAGCGGAGCTGGTTTTGGATCCAGAGATCGAAGATCGTGAAAGGCGCGAAGGCGAGGGCATGACAAGAAGAAAGCAGACCAAAAATACTCAGTTCTTGCAAATATTCTGAACTGATCCATGAAGCGTCACGATGAAAAGCTCTTTGGCTTCTCTTGAGGTCTGACAGGTGCAAGAAGATTGAGGCTTCAGTTGAAGCATGGACGGCAAAGGTTACAATTCGAAAATAGAAATGCAATTCTCCGTGCACCATCTCCAACCAACCTACGGGTGCCCAGGACTCACAAAAATCTTCGAAGCTGGTCCTGCAATTCTTTGCGTCTAGAAGGAGTGCTCAGCTACACGGAAACCATACCCATCCATCCAACACTCAAAAATATCAAAATCATCAATAAACCTACCTATTCTCAGACACCAAGGGTCTCTTACACCAGTGTTCCAAACTCTTCCTCAACCAGACATGTAACAATGCCCAGATTTGGCTCAAAGTCCCCAACGAAGTTTCGAAACCAGGGGCATCGTTCCTTTGTGCTGGATGAGGTGTAGTCAGTGGGTTATTATGTTTCGTGGTACAGTGGGAGGTCAGTAGCCACAGTGCAGAGTTTCTGGGTGTTTTTGTTATGGTTTGAACACCAAAAGCATTATGAACATTCTGCAGCTGCCTTGCGATTGACTGGATCGGCGATTGTCCTCAGCAAACCGAAGCAATCGTGCAAGCTTGATCGGCAAACTCACACAACGTCTTTTGTTTGACTCCGCATATTGCCTTCCGACAACAAACATATCAAGGACAACATGTTGGGGCTGTGACGCAATCACCCCAAACCACATCATCCCCTCAGTCAAAGCACTCGAAGCACAAGCGGGCCCAACGGATCGAAACAGATCTGCACTTTACAATGAATCAAGACCATCAACTCATCCAAGGCCATCAGGAACGAGCCAAGTGCCACACTGACTTTTGCGGTGATGGTGCTGGTGTCGCACCTGACAAAATATGCATACGATGCTCGGTCACCTGTGGACTTGCAAAATGGCCACCTGCATCAGGAGCCGCAGCTGGACCAGGCTGCGCCAACGGCGTGGACAGTGGAGCCTGGTAAAGGTCACGACCGACCTGCGACTTTTGTTCCTCACACACAGCAAAGTAGCAGAACCAGCATTCAATCGAACAAGGGCCTTCTTGATAAGTACCGTGATGTCCACCGGTATGCTATTTTTGGTCGGTTGTTGCACCTGGACTCATGGGTGGAAGGGATTCTGAGCAAAAAGAAGTCAGCGCACAATGTCCAAGGCTCAGCCTGAATGTCAGTGACTGCAAAAGAAGACCTACACCTTGGTGAAGCAAGCACCAGCGAATTAAAATTTACTGTATCAATATGCCTTTTGAAACAATGATGTTT